TGTTTTTGCTGCCCTGCAGCCGATAGGGTGAACAGATTTTATCCATTCTCCATAGGACCATGATCGCCATAGAAACGAGGTTCATAATAACTACCAATCTCTCCAATCGTCAATCATGCCTTTAACTCTCCAACACAGTAGGGGGCAGTAATAAATCGTAATAATAGTTTTTATTCAACATCAAACTGAAATTTCTTAAACTTTGGTTGCAATTGTCACTAAAGATAGAGAAGTGAAAGACCACTGCTCCAAAACAGATTAACATTCATAATAACATGTAACATATATAACATGTATAATAATTAAGTTGCTTTGCTGGGAACCTTGCAACCAGGAAAGCCCAAATATGGTCGTTTGGGCAAGAAGCTGAAAAAATGTCAAAAAACATCAAACTCCGGCTGCTTTGTGTTTGTGTTTTTCAATTCTTCTCGTATTTTTCTGTGTGATTAGTCATACTTTTGGAGGCTATTTAACACTTTGCCACATTGTCAGCAGGTAGAGTAAAACTCAAAAGCTTTATAAATGTGTCAGGCTGCTATTCAAACCAAATTACCCTAGTTAGGCAGTATTGACCAATCAGGATCAAGTATTAATCACAGCCGGGTACCCAGTCTCCTATTCAAGTATCCAAAATGCCAAGACGGTGATGGCCCAGCTGCCAGGGTCCCAGCAGTCGTCACCAAGCAAATGGGAAATTATGTTCACAGTACAAAAGACACAAATTTCAGCCCAGACATCAGTCGTGTGTCTCCTCTAATTTTTTCTTGCGCGGGACACAATGAGCTCCCATTGTGCGGGAGCTTTATAAGATTCTCTGTCCGACAGAGTCAGCAGAAGTCATCACATAAAGTTATTTTCAGGTCAAATCTGACTCAGCTCCATTAAAAGAATTTGCTGTCCCCTGTTACCTGAATACATACAAAATGTCATCTCCATAATCCTTGATGAATATACTCCTATTATACTTGCAATTACAGCACTAATCTGAAAACATGTTCTCTATGGTAAGTTGGTGTTTTCATTCTTTTCCAATCCAGGATTTAGGGGTGTTATGGGAGCCATAGCATTGTCTGAGCATGCATGGTTAAATGAAGAAATAGATTTTGTTAATGAAAAATGCAACAGATGGTGGCTGTAAACCCTGTCCCTGCAGAGCATGAACATTTCCCGCAGAATGACGGAGAACGGATTAAGGTCATTTTTGCCTGGTTTTTCAATTTATAAATTCATGCTCAGAGGGAACGGAAAAAAAGAGGGGGCTGGCATCCTGCCTCGACACTCTTTGGGAAATCCAAATGTCAATGAGCACATATTGGAAATGTGCAAATATTAGAACAAAAAACACGGTTTAGGAGCAGGACGTGAAGGCGGCCCTCACAACAGACTATCAGACTGACAAGGGGCGGCCCAGAGAGCCCGATGCCCAGAAGAAAACTGTTGTTTATCAGCATGAAAACAAGACCCCAGTTGATCAGAGGTGTGTATTGTTTTAAAAGATGAAAAACAAAGTAAGTGCCGTTCATTCAGCTCGCATCCAATTCACATTCAATTTCATGCTCGTACTCGGTGCCAGATTATGATTCAGCCTCTTTTTTCCTGACCATCATGAAAAAGAAAACCTCCATTCATGTGAGCTACGCCTTTTTCCGCGGTGTCCTTGCGCCTTCTACAGTCTCGGGCCAATGCCATTTCAATGTCATAATTTGAATGGAACAATCTTCCCGAAGACAATGGCCAATTTTCAGTGTACAAATTGCGTTTCATTTTTCTCCCACAGCTAACTGAATAGAAAACTAAGTTGGGCCTCTGTCTAGCACTCCCTCTCCCTCTCTGTCTCTGGGCTGTAATAGGCCTGTCTTTCTTCCCTCATCAAAACGCAGCAGCCCTGCTCCCGCTCTCTGTTACGCCCCTGATAAATGAGAAAAAAATAATCATATGAGTGATAGTGTGATGTTTTCTCATCTGTGGCTGAATTTAGTTGAACAAAAATATTACAATTTACACATCAGTGCGTGTGCAGGGAGGTCGAGAGTGGAAAGTATGCACCTTATTTCAGGATTAATAACATTTGCGGCATGTACCTGAAAAAATACCTTTCTTTCATGGTACTGTTAGGCACAAAGCAACTTCTTCCTCTATGATTGGAGGGTACTATGGAGATAATAAAGCCCGGCACATGAAATAATGTAAATGTGAATTCACTGCCGCCACAAATGAGTCTCCACGTGTCCCTCAGCTGCAGAACAAGGACTCAGCTATCAGACTTTCTACTGCTTTGTGGTAGTCATTACTGAAGCTTACTCAAAATGCACTTTCTTGATGCATGACTCATGAGTGAGTACGTTTTTTGCAAATCACATAAGACCTATGTATGATTGAAAACGTGCAACGACAACAAATCTGATCTATTTTTAAAAAATGTGATAGCAGCAGTACGTCTCAGAAAAGCTGGTAAAGGGCATGTTTACCACCGTGCTGCATCACCTCTTCTTTTGCAACAGTCTGCTGACATTTGGGAACCCAGAGGACCAGTTTCTGCGATTTCTAAACTGAAATGTTGTCCCGAAGGATTTCAACAGATCAGTAGTACTTATTTATGTTGGTTTTAAACTTGTTTTTACCTTGGTTTGTATCCAGAGGTTGTTTATTTGGGTTAATTATTTGCATTTCTTTATGTATTGATGTTTTTCTCCCTCTCTTTTGTCCTGACTGGGGAGCCTTGGGGTGCTTTTATCATGTGTTCTGTTTTGTGGTTGTTTTATATTTGTACTATAACTTGTATAAATGGACGTCATCACTTTATTTCACTGCAGAACAAATCTACCTTCGGGTATTATAAAGTAACCTGAACCTGAACCTGATGCTGCTCCAAAACATGTATGTCTTGATGCAGATGCTATGGGCACTTATAGACCCCTATTTGATCAAGAATGTTGTGTTTAACTAGCATTGATGGTGTAGCCCAAATGTAAAATTTCTTACGAGAATAAAGTCGTAAAGTAAATGAGGTGTTAAAGCTGCTTTTGTGGAGGAGGAAATGTCTGAACTGGTCAACTGCAGAGTTATCTGTGGGTGCATCAGTGGGCCATTCAGAGAGCTTTTGTGGTTTCTCAAGAAATAATCCAACTGATGATTAACATTTTTCAGATTCAGAGGGAGACGAGCTCCGACGAGCACCGCGTCTGTTTCTGATGCCGGCACAACACGGGCAGTAACCTACACCTGCAGAGGCACCAACACCTTATGGCATATAGATTCATACAATAAACTAAAGCCATATGCTATTGCTATAAATGGCTGTATTGAGGGATTTAGCCTCTGCACAGACATTTCCAGCCATTTCCCCCTCCTCAAAAACAGCGATTTCCTACAAGTCCGCCTGGTTCTTTCTGCGGAAAAGATGCATTTCTTGCATAAATGTCCTGATACTCATGACGATGTGATGCTGAAACGTCCAAGGATTTAGTATCTATTTGTTTGTAAAACCTAGCTACTTAAGTTCAATTCATCTAAGTGCTTCACAGCGCTCATTTAAACAACTAACAACAGCTTAGAATAGACTAAGGATTTTAATATGACTTTATTCTCGTAAGTAATTTCGAGGTCTTATTTTTTTTCTTTTCTTAATGTGGCCCTAATGCTCCGCCATAGAGAAAGAAGAGAGAGTATTTACACTCACCGGCCACTTTATTAGGTACACCTGTCCAACTGCTCGTTAACACTTAATTTCTAATCAGCCAATCACATGGCGGCAACTTAGTGCATTTAGGCATGTAGACATGGTCAAGACAATCTCCTGCAGTTCAAACCGAGCATCAGTATGGGGAAGAAAGGTGATTTGAGTGACTTTGAACGTGGCATGGTTGTTGGTGCCAGAAGGGCTGGTCTGAGTATTTCAGAAACTGCTGATCTACTGGGATTTTCACGCACAACCATCTCTAGGGTTTACAGAGAATGGTCCGAAAAAGAAAAAATATCCAGTGAGCGGCAGTTCTGTGGGCGGAAATGCCTTGTTGATGCCAGAGGTCAGAGGAGAATGGCCAGACTGGTTCGAGCTGATAGAAAGGCAACAGTGACTCAAATAACCACCCGTTACAACCAAGGTAGGCAGAAGAGCATCTCTGAATGCACAGTACGTCGAACTTTGAGGCAGATGGGCTACAGCAGCAGAAGACCACGCCAGGTGCTACTCCTTTCAGCTAAGAACAGGAAACTGAGGCTACAATTTGCACAAGCTCATCGAAATTGGACAATAGAAGATTGGAAAAACGTTGCCTGGTCTGATGAGTCTCGATTTCTGCTGCGACATTCGGATGGTAGGGTCAGAATTTGGCGTCAACAACATGAAAGCATGGATCCATCCTGCCTTGTATCAACGGTTCAGGCTGGTGGTGGTGCTGTCATGGTGTGGGGAATATTTTCTTGGCACTCTTTGGGCCCCTTGGTACCAATTGAGCATCGTTCCAACGCCACAGCCTACCTGAGTATTGTTGCTGACCATGTCCATCCCTTTATGACCACAATGTACCCAACTTCTGATGGCTACTTTCAGCAGGATAATGCGCCATGTCATAAAGCTGGAATCATCTCAGACTGGTTTCTTGAACATGACAATGAGTTCACTGTACTCAAATGGCCTCCACAGTCACCAGATCTCAATCCAATAGAGCATCTTTGGGATGTGGTGGAACGGGAGATTCGCATCATGGATGTGCAGCCGACAAATCTGCGGCAACTGTGTGATGCCATCATGTCAATATGGACCAAGCTCTCTGAGGAATGCTTCCAGCACCTTGTTGAATCTATGCCACGAAGAACTGAGGCAGTTCTGAAGGCAAAAGGGGGTCCAACCCGTTACTAGCATGGTGTACCTAATAAAGTGGCCGGTGAGTGTATTTTCTTAATGTTATTTGTTTCTATCGGCAAAGTTTAAAATCTCCCATTGTATTTGAATGCACCGCTCTCAACAGCCAATCAGGGGTAACGCAGGCCACGTTCAGCTCGTAAGGTGAAGTGCCCGTGCGTCAACCTTCTGGCGTCTTCTCCTCTCAGCCGCGGGAGTGAGGGTAGCTACCTGCGTAGCAGACAGGGAAATAAGGAGAAAAAAACTGAGTTAAACTGTGGAAAGAGGAGAAGAAAGCCAGCGCTCTCACTCACTGGAAGTCCGGAGCCGAGTGACTACAGGAAGGAAACAAGTCGCGTCGGTAAGACGAGTTTGTTTATCTGGAGAAAAAAAAATTGTTAGCGCTAACCGCGTCGTCCATGCTAACGCTAGCTCTGTGTCTAACAGGCTGACCTTTCATCTTAGAGCCTCTGCAGCTCCGATATCAGCTTTTAAATGCAGATTAAAGGTGATAAACACGTCTCTCTAGCTGCTCTGATGCTATTTCTCTGTATGCTGAAAGAAAGCAGTGGTGACATTAAAGGTTATGACAGTGAACTGAAGTGAATAATGGTGCAATGTTTTGATCATGTGTGTATTTTGTCTATTGTTTTATGCTGATGTGTCAATGTAAAATGGAGGTTTTGTTTATTTTCCTAAGGCCAATTTAAAATAAAAGAAAGTAAATTGATGAAGCAGATGATGAGAGTAAAATGATATGTTATATAGCAATATGTAAACTACTGAAGGAATTATTTTCATTTCAACAGTGAGTTTGACACCCTGTTGAGAGATGAATGTTGCCGACTGCTTGCTTCCCGAGTTATACCAACTTTAGTAACGACTACACGATAAATACAGAGAGAGACACACGCTCAACCAAAACGCCACTCGATGCAACATATTGATTTTTAAACCTTCAATGATGCATCTGAGAATAGAATGTAAATTATATGATCTTGTGTGTTGGTCAGGTTTTTGGCGAGGACAAGGAAAATCCAAGGACCAGGACGAAATTCCAGTCGTGACAGATGGCGAGCTAACCACTTTGAGGAAGAATTAGCGCGAAGGAGATACAAACATTCACACTACAATCCATGGACCTTTAAAATCAGGTGCACCTGCAACAACAAACACTATTACTTAAGTGTGCACACCATACGCTTTTATTTCTGGTAATTTGGGGTTGTTCGTGTATGTTTTGTACAAGTTGATCGTGTCTTCTCATTGACTGTAAAAATACAAGAGTGGCTACTCAACAGTTATTCTAGTGCCTGACTCATTATTGCTGCTAAACACATTGGCTCCTTACGAATTTGGTGTCTTCTGATTCTGGTCAGGGTCTAGTTGTTAGTCCAAGCTGTTATTATACTGTAATTCACTTTTATATATCGGTTACAATGGCATTTGCTCAAACTGTTCAATCGCACGTTTTCAGTTTGAACCCTAACCTGTTAAAATGTAACCTAACTGTTTATATTTTAGATTTCCAGGGTTCTTTTGGTGTTTTGCAGCCCCCTTTCCAACTTTTTTGAAATGTGTTTCTCATGTCAAACTTAAAACAAGCGTATCATTTCAAAAAACAAGACATTATTTAGTTTTTATATATCATCTTAAGACTATTTTCAATGAAATACTGCGTCAAAATGTTTTGCAAGTCATCAAAATCTGTTTTTATCTGAATTTTACGTCATTTTTTGGGATTCAGACCATTAAAAAAGCAAATATGCTACATTAAATGCAAAGAAAACCTCTAGCACTCTGTCCAAATGGTTTAGGTCAAGTCTCGTCCAGATTTTGTGGCAGCACCAGGGGTGGTCAGGCTTAACCCTCTGGATCTGCCCCTGTTTCAAACAACAACATACAGTATAAAATATAAAAACAACAACATGACCTGGGGGGAAGTGTTTCCTCTGAGAGATCTATAGGGGGACAAGACTGACTCCTACTTACCCAGGAGACTCATGAAAATGGTTTTAGGCTGTCAAAGTGGAGACCACTTTGAGGATCACAAACCAACAACAAAAATAAATTGATCAAAAATTGAGAAATAATGACTTTGAATCTTTATTTTAAGATTTTATTGTTTTGATTAATCTTCAGCAACATATTGTCTCCTATCTTAGCCTCCTAGCAGCTTCTAACATCATCACAGACCATTAATTTACTACAAAGGTAACTGGTGTGAGGCTTTTAGAGTATCATCTTTCAACAGACCCCTTCATTAGGAGGTAATCAAACAGTCCTCCCCCGTTAGCATGGCAGCACAGTGATGGCCACAAACATGCAAAATGGGAAAGTCATGGCACCATTAGCTGAGTAGCAATGAAACAGCGCTTGTGTTCAGCTGAAAGCACCCACATGGCATCTCCCCAGCGAATACACAAGCCAGTGGCCGTGACAGATGCCTGGGACGCAGAGCATTAAGTGTCACATATCTGCATATGCTTTTCGGCAGCGCTCTTAGCACCACACACATAGGAGCATATGTCTGATGAAGGTCAGTGGTTTGAAAACAAGGCACCTCGGCAACGGCGGCGAGGGGGAGGGGCCAACAGAGTCTTTTAAAAAAAACACTGAGCACCTCTTTCTTTCGCTTTATGATGAGGTTTAAGTTTGAAAATTAAACTTTTGATGGAGAGAGAGAAACATTCAGCATGAATGAAAATCTATAAAACTGAACAGTAGTTTGACTGATCTGTGGTGTAGCCAATGATCGGTGAGAACCTGTGACTGCTTCAATTTGATTGGTTAATTTCTTGGTGTAATTTAGTGCACTGCGTGAGTTAATATGGATTTTTTAAGGTTAAGAGACTGCTGGCTGTAAACTCTGCTGATAAACTCATGATAGTGTAAGTTAACAATGAAACCTCGGTCTCGAGCTATGAATGTTATCTGCAGCTGGTAGGCAACTGCTATCTAGCATGTGACATCTGTCTTCTTGCAGACATGTGAGGCTTAAGTTGAACATCAGACTAATGGAATTACAGTTAACTGAATCTAGCTAGCCTATGCTGAGGCTCGCTGATGCTGGCAGGCAGCTGCTAGCTTGTATTGTTTGCTACTTTCGTATCAAAATAGACTTGAAACTATAATGTTAGGGATTTTGGTGTTAAGTCAGCCATGGGATTCGCCTCAAATGTTGTCATCCTTGCTAGTCAGCACCTGGCGGGCGGGTTGTGCTGGTCATATGTCGTATCTATTCTGCAGTGAAGCTACTCGTCACTTTCTGGGGCTATAGCTCCACTTAAAGAAGCCACTAAAAACAATCTTAACTGTGATTTTATTCGAGTTGATCAGTTTGTATTTCAATTTCCATCTAAACAGCCAGAAAAACGGTCACTTCCGAACATCCCCACTACACGCACAGATGTGATTTGATTGCTCAGCACCAAACTTCATTATAAAACTGTTCATTTTAATTCTATACCAGACACATTAGATTCTTGGTTTGTGCAGCACCAGTGTTTGATATTGTTTATTGCATCAGAAATCATTATCACTCACAGCAAACAACCCGGCCCCTCATTGCTACTTCAATCACAGTTTCTTGGCACCACCGCTGCACTTCAGCTGTTGCTGCTATTGCTGTTTCGGCGGCAGCAGCAGCAGCAGCAGCAGCGTGCTGGAGCCGCTCAAGCTCTTCACTTTCCCCTTAATCCTGCACTGACAGAATACAGCTAATGACCAGCAGATGGATGTGACAGAATGAGGATGATATACAGAAAGAGTATGGAGGATGAGGAGTATAAATGAAACCAGCCTGAGTTACTGAAAAAAAAAAAAAAGAAACGCTGCTGTCATCAGAGGGAAAGGCGTTCATCTTTTTACTGCCTTGGGGACGCTTGTTTATCATTTTCTAAAGTGGGCAGGAGGAGGGGAGGTGGCTAGCAGCCGTTTAACCCCTTCCATCTGGGCTTTAACCCCAATATCCTTGTTGGTGTGGAATTTTCTGCCAGCCTTGACATCGTCATTATCATCCATCATCATCACCATCCTTTATAGTTTCACGCATCTGGCGTATACAGAACAAGTTGGCAATCTGGTGTTAAACGCATAAACACTCTGCCAGAGGAAAAGTTACGGCCCAGGCGTGATTTCGATCACAAGCAAGATAAATTATGTTCAGATTGTGATTGTAATTGGAAAAGCCAGAGGTCTACAGCGTCACACTGCCTGCTGGGAATAGTAGAACAAGATGTGACAAATGGGAGGAGTTGCTGCCGAGTTGAGGGGCTTTTGTTGGAAATGTGGCAGTAAAAGGGGAGGTTAGGAGACGAGGAGAGAGGAAGTGTTGTGAGAAAGTGATAGAGAAAAGGATGTTCCCCCATTGGAATTCAGGACGGGCGCGCAGAAGACATCACATGAGGCAAAAAGTAGAACAATGAGCCGCTGCATCCTTTTATTAGAGCTGAGAATGTCTAGAAATTTAAGACCACCATATTTTTAGAACCCCATCAACCTGGCCTTTATATAGCTCGATAAAATAGGCCTCCATGTTTCTCGTTGGAGATTGAGCTCGACTTATCCCGCCATCGGAGAACTAGGTGTTTTTGTGAACACTCCGACTACTCTCGGAGGTGGGAGGGGGTGGGGGGAGGCACACATTCAGGCAGAGAAAATGTATGGGCAACATCGCAGAATCTTATTTAGATTGATAGAAGCTGCTCAACCTGTCAGCAATCTCCACATGAGCATGTTTGTGAGCAAAATGATCCAGATTACCTTGGGAACCTGGTGTGAAGCAATACGAGCGAGCGAAAGAAAAACCTATTTGCTGTTTGTATTTCTTTATGCACATCTGGGGGAGAGAGGAGTAAATATGTGTGCAGTCTCTCATAGCAGAAATGCATAAAAAAGTAGATCGTACGGAGCAGGAGTGAGATTGAAACAAAGGAAAGTATCTAAAGGCATCCAGGGATCCACACATACACCCTCGCCCCCTGTTGCCTCTCTCCCTTGGGTGTTCGTTAATCACCCTTTTAGATCTGTCAGCCTGTGGGTGGGCCCATTACCCTTCATCGCTGCTACTTTTGTTGCCCGAGACAGAGCCGCCATTCAGATGCTCTGCAGACGCCTCAGTCCTCGATGTGTCTCGCACAGGCCCCACCTTATTAGAGGAACATGTGAGATAATGAATAAATAAACAAAGTGAAGAGGATTCGGGGACGTGAGGAGCATAGTGACAGTGCAGGGTTCATTAATAGACAAGGTGCCGGGTTTCGTGCTGCGTGTCACACCGGGTGGCGGATAGGGCTTCAGTTTTTGTCGCCGAGGACCCCTCCTCTTTGCCACCCAAACTCAAAGCCTCCTGTCGACCTGTTACGCTGGGAGATCCGGGGCTTACCTTGGAGACGGGCAGAGTTGGATCCACACTCAAAGATAACCAGGCTTGAGCTGTCTGGGTTGCCAGTGGAGTTACTGGTACCTTCACTTTTAAAACTAGTCGAAATGAGAATGGGCCAACTTTTTAGGAGTTAATATTTTAATAAAGTACATTTTAACATCAAACTCTTGAACTTTTAAAACAGTCGAGACCAGCAGCAGTTTAAAAAACGTAATTTTTTATATCAGCGCCATGAAAAGAAAAGCCCTGTTTTACATTTTTAACATTAAATATTCACAATTAATGAGACATTGGACCAGAATGAGATTTTCCGTCAGGGGAATTTACGGTAACCCTTTCTTTTATGGTACACTTATTACCAGGTAATTAACAGGTAATTACCTTGTAACAACATGAAATTATCTGGTAATTACATGATAACTACAAAGTCAATACTGTCTACTTTTTCTTTTTTTTTTCTGTTCAGCTCCATTTTCAAAAGCTATTTGAGGTTCTTATTTTCTATGATTGACACTTGATGTCTGTTTAGCTAGACAGCATTGACTTAGTAGTTATCATGTAATTACCAGGTAATTTCATGTTGTTACTAGGTAATTACCTGTTAATGACCTGGTAATAAGTGTAACGTAAAAGAAAGGGTTTCCGAATTTACTTCAGCTAAGACTGGTTTGCCAACAGGGGGCGCCAAAACTGACATAAACAAAAGTTCCTAACAGGAGCTTTAAAGAGAGCTTCATTTTGTCACTGCCACTCAGATTCTTGTCCAAATTTTCCAAAAATGCTCTCTCCAAAGTGATCAGACCAGACTGCCAAAAACAGGTGGTGGTCTATAACCTTCTGGACGAGTTTATGGGTTCACTGGCTGCATGTTGGCTCATGACCGGAGGCCGTTAAGAACCTGGCAGTAGCATTACCCCA